AACTACAGAGGTGATCATTCTCAACACAAGAGACATCAAATAAAGGCCGGGACATGGATGAGTTATAAAGTGAGCAACAGAGATTTTCTTGATCCCATTTCATCTTGAAGTGTGTAATACTAGTATCGGGGTACATATTCATCATACCTTTGCATGTGTAGTGGACAGGCAAAATCTAAAATGGAAAATATTTCCCAGAAAACTTCATGGGCAGTCCGAACGTACATGGATAAGATATTTATAACACGCTCCAAGTATTATCATATAAAACAGAAATCATCAGTTTCGAGTTGTGCACTTCACACTCGAAGCCATAAGCGGTCCTCCAGTAGAAAGCAATACAGAGTATTGACTCAACCGAGTTTTCTGATACTCGCAAGTAATGAGGCCGAGCCACAGATGAGAGGACCTAAACCGCTCCTTAACCAATAAGCAAGAGAATACGATTTTTAAGTAGCCACGGCGATGCGGTCAAATTTTTGTTACTAACAAATGTGCGCGCAGCAGTAAGAACTCACATGTACAAGCCAAGCATATTCATGGAAAGTGAAGCAAGTATAGCTTATTAGAAAAACAGGGCGTATGAAGCGACTTTCATTTCGAAACAAAAATTAACGGATGATATCATGTAATTCCATTTGAATTGTGATCAAAGAAACGTAGAAGAGGAGTAGGATTCTAAACGCGATGTGCACCGTAACACGCAAATTAACTAGCATAGTACATTTATACTGAGAATCCCTGCTACATTAAGTGGCATTTTGAAATTCTAGTCCCGAGAGCCGCCAAGAAACAATCTAGAGACTTCGGCTCACATGTAGCCCAGTGAGATGGAAGGTTGGCGAGGCAATCAATTCGTGTCCCAAGAAATCTAATCACATCAGAACAGCGCAGTCTGACTCTGCATTAGAAGACAAAACAAGGCTTCTTGTAGCCATCATCTCAAGCCCCATAATAACTAAAATACAATATTTACACTCAACCTTACGGTGAGGAGTCAACAATGTTTTAAATTGAGATGATACGAACACATCTCCGACATTAAAAAGGTAATAGATAGAAGAGGTTGCTATTAACTAACAAAATTTCTCAAGGATTTAGCTTGAATAAAATTAGCTTAATGTTCATTATGAGCAATTTAGAAACTAATATGCTTAATAAAACACTCGAAGATGCGATTAACGGTAGGCAGGGAAGCAAGTAAGCGAGTTGCTGGTAGCAAGCATTAGGCGTCAAAAGGTTTCAATAATATGTACATGGCGCCCGGGTAGTGATAGCTGCTGCTGTGCGGGAGCCTCGGGCACAAATCTCAGCAAGAGGGACCGGTTTGGTGCGATGCAGCGCGAGGGTGGGGGAGACATCCACCAGCTGAGGTGGAGGTGTCGGGTGAAGCAAGGTAGTGGGTTTACCCACGAGCCAAGCCGAGATGAAACTTTTGAGAGAGTGACAGCCAAAGCTAGCAGTGGAAAAGCGGGTAAAGAAGAGGGCAAAGAAAAGGCGTAAATCATGAGTGATTCACACCAGGTATACTAAGTGAAGAACAGACTAGAACGAGGTATATACGAGAATATCGCTTATATTGTAAGGACTAACTATGAATATCGATGGAATGCATGAATTAAACCCACTAACACTAACAGTCAAGCTCCATGACTATGGAAACATCATTTGAGGCAACTGTGAAACTTTTAGCGATCCAAAATGGCTTCCAAAAAACATCTCTCAAATATACCATGATCTAATTTACCAACATCGAAAACTTTCGGGCTGTTTAACCAGTTTTGAAGTTATTTACGAACGAGAGAGTAAGGAATTGCAGTAACGAACCCTCCTCCAGATGGAACTATAGACAACAGGGGCACAATTGAACGCCGTAAAAACTCTGGGCAGGCGCGTCATGTGTTTGCTTAAGACCAAAGTGAAGGAACGCAACGAAGAGCAAACAACTCCAGCGGAGGGCAAGCATAAGTGAGCGTTGCTTTGCAGGGGGACCAACGGCTGCAAGCAAGACACAAGTGCTGCAAGCAAGACACAAGTGCTGCAAGCAAGACACAAGTGCTGCAAGCAAGACACAAGTGCTGCAAGCAAGACGCTGCAGTAGGCCGAGAGTTGCGGTCACTTCAAGATTATGAATAATTAACAAAAATTACGGACAAGCACTGATAAATGGATCATATAGATTCCTAAAGCCTAGTACTAGAAACGAGCTTTTTAAATTATAAGGAGGATATTGGATTAAAATGAAGTTAAATACCAATATATTAGCGTCATTATTCCAAGCAGATTTATCCAAAATCTATTAACTAAAAATTTGCCTCCAATTCAAACAAGAGAATATTATTAGCGATCCTAAATTTCACGAATAAAATGAAATTATATTCAAAGAATAAACCGCAACTTTCTCAAAAATAAAGAACCAGTTCAAGAGCATGTTATTTTTAATTCATTCACAATAATATTTCATCGGTCCCTCCGTAACCCGGAATATGAGCATGTGGACGGTTCCAGTTGAAGGTTTCTATTACGAAGCGCCGAGGCCAGCTCATGAGCTCCAAAACAATCAAGCTGTCAGTTCTGTAGCGCAATGACGGCCCAAAAGTAGCAATTGTAGCGTCCTTCTTAGAAGTGCAGCGTTGGCAGGCAAGCGAAGAAGCATGGCCGTATTGGCGTAAGTGGTGGCGGTCAAAAGCGCATATTACAGTACCCGTGAAAAATAGCCAAACTACGGGCTGATGAGTATCGCGTAAGAGACCTACAAATTACACTGCTGTACGGGTAGAAGCAACATCAATAGCTCGACACTCGCAGATCATGGGCGCGAAATCATCGTCTAAGAAACCGAGCAAAAAGTGTCGTTGCAGCTATGGTGTGAGCAGCGGCAACTGGCCTTGGCAAATACGACCAATTTGATTGTAATCGCGATGAAAGATGACTATACTTGGCTTCCCGCAGTCCTAATTTAATTACATTCTCTTCATGACATGCCATAGTAGAGAAGCATGAATCAGATCGAATTTACAAAAGAATATGTGAGAAATGTGATGCCGTATTAAATCAAGAGGTGGTTTCTGTGCACGTTAAAGTGTTTCATTGAGGAATTGTCAGAATATGCGGTTCACGAAATGACTAATATTTATCAGCACATATGCAAAAGTTAAACGTCAAAAATTAACGCAAAGGTGAGCTATTCATTCGATAATAAACCGAAGTTAAAATAGAAATAAGAAATTAACAGAAAATAAATAGTAATTGATGTCAAAATTGTAAAAAATTACTAGAAAGAATCGCATTTGATTGAAAACTGATACAGATACCGAAAACCGATTTGTCTGGCAAAAAAAATGAAATCTGAAGTCAAATGCTCAAATCGAACTATAAAACACCAAGAAAAATCTGCAAACGACATACTTCCCTCGTCCATTCCCGTAAGTTTGGATTAAACTGGGATAGATAGAACTCGATCAGCCCCCTTACAAAATTGCCCATGCCAACGGAATATGGCTGACTTCCCATCTTGCGAGGACTCTTGAACTTCATGCGATTCTTTAGTTCGACAACGCAACCAATTTTCGTGCTTCATTACACGCACAAAGGTTGGCTTGAACAGGATAAATGTCGATACGGATGGATGTAACACATCGGCAAATTCATGCGTTTCTTAAGGGCATTCAAGCAATAGATTAATATCGATATCCGATAAACCAGAAATGGTCGTTAGTGGCCAGAGAAACGTGTCATGGTTACATTTGATAAGCGTCCACTTCCCTACGACTTAAAAATGCCGCACATTTGCCCATTTATGCCAAAGAAATTCGCGATTGATCCGTAGCCTTCCAAAATGCCAACGCCGAATATGAACACAAATTGTTAATAAAATCTTAGTTACAATGGTTCCAAAGCCACACAAAATAAATCCTATATACTCTAATAAAATTTAGAGTCGCCCCAGCTTCTGGTAATCCAAATCAGAAGCTGCCGCGTCTGTAGATTTTCACAGGGTAGTATATGAACAGTCGAATCAATACCAAGTGAAGTACAACACAGGTTGCGTGGTGGGATTAGATATTTAGCGCACATTTATAGGACAACAAAAATAAACACTAGAGAAATTAATAGCAGTGAGATGAGCGAGGTAAGACGCGCGTACTCTAATTCAAGAAGTGCGCGGCATGTAAGATCATGGCGGAAACTAAATAAGAAATTTGTATGTACATTATACCGAAGATTGGAAACAGGGAGAGAGAGGCAGCCGTACGGGGGTGAATAAGATTAACGGCGAAACCACTAACAAATTTCAAATTTTGGATGGATATCTAGTGATTAAAAAATACATTTAAATAAAATGGAATTAAAAAACCAAAATGAATAGTTAGGAATACTAAATCCTGAGAATAGCAATCGAATTTTTGGTGACACTTTTAAGGAAATAAAATAAACTTGAACACAACATGAAAGCGAATTTGAATAAACATTGTAGAAAACTCGCACCAGAGAAGCTACGAAATACGAGAAAGGTCGCGTGAATGAGAAATTACCAGAAAATCGTGTACTCAATAAAGCATGAAACTTGAATTGCAGTCGAAAGCAAGGTAAAATTTTTATAGGATTATTCAATGGACAGAAATAGTTTAGAAAAGCCCGATGAAAAACAAACACAAATTTTTCCTACTAAATTATTCCAAAATTCTAAACAAAATTAGAAAGAATCCAGTCGCATTATAGTGCTAAATTAGAACCATTTTAGGTGAAAACACAACGCAATGATCCCCATTATACCGTATTACAAGTATGAAAAGAAAGATTATGTTATCAGAAAGTGTTCTCTGAAAAGCTCTGATGTAGGAGTACTTGAAGGTTCAAAGATATTGTGCACGGCCTTTTTATGAAGCCAGTACGGCGCGTCAGGAACCTAGCCCACGCGATAAAACAAGGATCACTGCATGGCCACACAAGAGAATATTCTTATATTATCAGGAATATACATGAAAATGTGTACTTACTTTACGCGCCACGCAGAACTCCTTCTGAACGACCTCGGCCACGAGGGGCGTCACGAAGCCCGTCAGTTCTGAGGGAGTAGAGAACGTCTACGTAATATACTCAGTTCTCAAATGTCGTGATTAACTCCAGCATAAATAGCGTCACTGAGGTTGTTTTGGTTATCCAATACATGCTAGATGATGTTTCAAATGACTTGAACAAAAATTCTACCTCTTCACAAATCACAAGCCATGATAATTTAATAGCTATCATTTCTGAATCTAGATTAAATTTGTTAAAGCTTCGAAGAGCCCAAAATATTAGTAGTTTTAAAAGCATTTAACCTAGTCAAGAAACTGTTTGAGAAACCATGCCTTTAAGGTTGATCATTCATTAGAAATAATCTTCATGTCTCCTAGAAGAATTAAAATAAGTTTAATATGAAAGCATTAATTTTTCATTAGTTTGACTACAGTAGTCTTGATATTAAAGCTAATAATAGCGGGTGGGGTAAAATTGTGCCAAGTTCCCTAACTATTTCAAATTGCACAATAAAATTAATTTTCCTGACGAGAAAATTAATTATTCAAGTGATGAATTATCCTGTTCTCATTAGTTTTGTTATTTTATGCAAGGAGTATCAATTTTTCCTTCACAATAAGAATGGCTGTGCACTATAGCGGGCTACGAGATATAAAAAATGTACTCCAATTACAAAAATATTGATAATATTTGCATGAAGTTCTATGCATGCTACTGACCAGCGTCAAGACCGCGCACCCAACTGTCAGATAACATATATAAACTTTCTTCCAACGAAGAATATATGAAATAAAACCTGCATGAAGTATGCATGGAACTGATCAGCGTCAAGACTGGGCACCAACTGTCAGGTAACATACGTATATAAACAAATATATGAAATAACGGCAAATATATGGAATAAAACCTGCATGAAGTATGTATGCTACTGACCAGCCTCAAGACTGTCCACCCAACTGTCAGGTAACATATATAAACTTGCTTCTAACGACAAATATGTGAAATAAAACCTACATGAAGGTTATTGAACTGACCAGCGTCAAGCCCGAGCTCCTGGAAGCAGTCAGAGTGTAGGAAGTGCAGGAAGTTATGGTGCAGCAGGAAGCGGTACTGCTGATGCTGTGGATCCCACACAACCAGACACACGTCGCCTGGCTGGCACGACCCGAGCTCTACACTCACACGCAGCGCTCTCTAAACAATGTAAACATCGCTAGACTCTAATACACAATTATATATAAGATACACAAATATATATATACCATATACAAATATATAAACCATGAGAAATTTTTTTATAAAAAGTACGCTCTGGTCTTCAATTAAAACTGAATAAATAAAGAAGTTCTGCCTAACTACACAAATATATAAGCAATACGCAAAAATATATATACCACGGCTGTCAACATCATCGACACAAAATTGACTTACTAACGAAATTATTCATGAAAAACTCTTATTTCTTTCAAATACAAACTATGAAATAATTCACCTGGTATTTCATTCCGAGTTGCGCTTAAAGAATGGAACATAAGATACCTACATTCCAACTCGGCAAATTTAAGAACATTTCAGGCATACATAGAACGCAATGATCCCTTACTAAATCTCACTTCAATACATTACAATAATGGCAATATGAATAAAACAATTGACGATAATTTTCGAAATTTCCATTACTGATCAATTAAGCCTTACCTTAGCGGGGCTGGCGACAGCGCCCGGCAGCGACGTGGCGGCAGTGAAAGATTTCGACATCTCAGCGGAGGTGAAGGAGAGCACAGCTGACGCTGGGTCCGTAAGCGCTGTAGTGTCAGCCACTGAGGTGTCAGTGGCTGTGGTGTCAGTGGTTGTTGTGTATGTGGTGTCAGCCACTGAGCTGTCAGTGGCTGTGGTGTCACTGGCTGTTGTGGCAGTTGTTGTGGCGTCAGCTACTGAGCTGTCAGTGGCTGTTGTATCACTGGCTGTTGTGGCAGTGGCTGAAGTGTCACTGGCTGTTGTGGCAGTGGCTGAAGTGTCACTGGCTGTTGTGGCAGTGGCTGAAGTGTCACTGGCTGTTGTGGCAGTGGCTGAAGTGTCAGTTGCTGTGGTGTCAGTGGTTGTTGTGTCAGTGGCTGTGGCGTCAGTGGATGTGGTGTCAGCCACTGAGGTGTCAGTGGCTGTTGTATACGTCGCTGATGTGTCAGTGTCCGCTGGGACATCGGGTTCAACAGATGCATCGGGGTCAACAGATGCATCGCGGTCAGCAGATGCATCGGGGTCAGCAGATGCATCGGGGTCAGCAGATGCATCGGGGTCAACAGATGCATCGGGGTCAGCAGATGCATCGGGGTCAACAGATGCATCGGGGTCAGCAGATGCATCGGGGTCAACAGATGCATCGAGGTCAGCAGATGCATCGGGGTCAGCAGATGCATCGCGGTCAGCAGATGCATCGGGGTCAACAGATGCATCGGGGTCAGCAGATGCATCAGCGTCAACAGATGCATCGGGTTCAACACATGGATGTGTGTGTGCTAAGCCATATTCCTCAACAGAACTCTGGTCTTGAAATATATTTGCACTAGGAATTGTATCTCTAAAAGCTTCCATAGGGTCCCAGTTCAGCCACGGCACGTTATGTGTGCCCATCACGAGCATCTGTTCATCCTGTGTTCGAAATAAATATTATGTAAAGCGTGACAACATTTTTCTCACGACCTAACGTGCGCATAATTCTATCTAATTAAGGTAAAATTTTTTGTTGCATCTTTTCATTAAGTGTGTAACAACAGAGATAATAAATAATAAAAACTTCATAACCAAAATCATTTTTGCACCATGAGGAAACGAGGATTGAACAAACAATATTTTGCAAAATTTTGGCCGGGAGCAGAGAGCGAATTTTGGCTCTGACATCACAAGATTTAACTATAGAGCAAAAAACATACCTACTTGGAAAAATTCACAACTGAAATAATTCAGTACTATATGAGGAATGTTCTTCAGTACTTATTCGAATTTAAATACCGAAGAACAAAAATTCCAATTTATTTAAGAGAAATGTCACTCGTTTGCTTGAATCACAAATTCACTAAAAACTTAAAAGCAAAGAAAACTCTCACAAAAATTCATAGTATCTTTAAAGAAAACGTTATCTTTAACGTTTTCTTTAAAGATACTATAAATTTTGTGGAGTTTTCTTTGCTTTTAAGTTTTTAGTTATTTAAGAGTGATTTGTAAGGGTTATGGTAGCTTTATAGTGTGTTAACGGACTCACCAGAGCCTGCATATCGCGACCAAGTTCATGCAGCGCTACAGTGAAGGATTCTGGCCCCTCCTGACAGCGCTGTACGTGGTACTGTGAACAGAACAACTAGGACAACCAAGCTTGTTAGTACCTTGAATTATAGCAAGCAAGTGCGACATGACAGTTGACGGTGCACATTAAACGTAGAAAAAGTAGTTTAAAAAAGTGCATTAGAAAAAGTAGTAGTTAAAAAAGTGCATTAGAAAAAGTAATAAAACCATGCCACGATGAAGAACACTGAGAAATTAACGAAAACCCTTGTTAAAATTTGAATTAGTTAAATAAGCAAGCAGAAAGTAACATTTAATGCAACACAGCAGGAACATTAACACATAAAAATAAATGAACCGGAAAAATAAGCAAGAAGAAAGCAAAGATTAATTCGGTGATAGACAACATGCGCTCAGGACGTCAGTGAAGCAGCCTGTAGTGATAGAGGGGAACACGGGCAGAGGTGCACGAGTGAACACATTACAATATTAAGATGATACAATTGTTTTCACTTGAATTATCTTGCAATATTTAAGAGATTTTTGCGTGTAAAACGACCGAAATGGCTGCCTGTCATTAACAGCATACCCAAAAGCAGTCAATGCAACTGTTCACCTCGGCTGTACACGAGTCTGGTGTTTCGTACACAAAGAGAACAATCGGCAATTCCGATGAACACGATTTTGCATTGTTGAATTTTCCGAAATAGTTTAAAAATTATTCATAAAAATAAGAGGAGATCATCCGTTTATTGAAGTTTTTACAGTAAGTGTTATTAATGAAAATGAATTGTTAATCGATGAAGCTTCGTGCATCATACTTCATGTAAAGACTATATAACGAGATCATGTCGCATGAATATTCTGAACCGAAAATACACCAGAAAGAGAATGTTTTTCCATACCTTGTGATCGTACGACATAATCAAGATTATTATTGTAAAAGTTCATGGTTTTAACAAGACCCAAATAATATTGGTATGACAGAGTTCACATCAATTATCCAGGACCTGACGTGTATGCTACTTTGGTCAGCTCAATGCCGCAACATTCCACAAATGTACAACAAATGTTAGAGCGCACGCAACGACATAACACGTGCCAAACTTTTAAACACTAGCAACATTATACAGAACACAAAAAATAATGAAGAATTATTCAACTTTAGGTGTTCAGCTTCATAAAAAGGCAGAAGCAGTGAAAAAAAAGCAGCCAATTAAAACCATTTACAAAATTTAAAGATAAAAATTAAAAAAAAAAGTTTCAAGAGATGAGTCACAAATATCAAGTAGAAGCAAAACGTTCTAGAGGCGCAGGGTCAGGACAAGAATGTGATCGTGTCGGTTATTAGGAGATTAACTAAACTTCCCAATTATTCTAGCAGGATCTATAATGAACTCAACAGCCTTTATCATCAATAAGCAATGAGTAATAAATTAAGTCTCTGCTGAATAGTAAGCGCTGCAAATATTAAACGATTACGTCCAGAATAAAGTGAAAAGTTGAACAAATGTCTTGCACTTGAAAAAAAGATAAGATTATCACATAAGTAAGAGTAATGCAATTGATATGAAGCAGTGAGCAACCATGACGAAACTTTGCAACGTAACAAAGGGTGCGTGGACGCCGAACACTCCGAAATTTAAGCATAACCAATGCAAAATTGCAAGCACAAGGAGACAGCATATAAAACATTTATAACTTCATATTAAATACTGAAATTGAAACAAGCTTTTTTCAATCCACAAATATAATCAGCTTCATAGTAAATCAATCTCAAGTTAAAGAAGCCGTGTCTGACAGTCTAGATTGCTAACGTTTCTATCTTCTCGACATAATTATTGTTTATTGTAATTACTAAGCCCTGCTAATTTCATAGGAAATAAGGAATAACAACAACAGCATCTATGGTATTTAGTGCAGGTACTTACGGCTAGTTCGCGGTAATAGTCGTTCGTAGTTTGAAGAGCGTGGGTTTTTTGCTGCAGAGCTTCCAGATCACGCTTGTGCCGGGCCATCACTGCAGCTAACGTCTGCACCGAGCGATTCTGTTGCAACAAAACATTCAATATCATCTTCAGATACCGGCGTAAGTAGAAATGAGTGCAATGGTTTTAATCAACATTTCTTAACCATCTTCCAACATGTATTAACTGGCACAAAAATGGGCATTATTAAATCGTATCGAGATAATATTACAAATCCCATTTCGCCTTTCTCGAACTTTCATCCCACTTAGACTATTGATAAGGGATGACCATATGCCATATCGACCAATAACATTGATGCTAAGATTCCCTTAATATGTTTCACGATTTGTAATTTGATCATTTCATGATGTGGTATTTTTACTTACCAGCATATATAGCGCAATACTTCATATTGTAATGAATCACTATGGCGCACAGAGCTCTCTGTCGCAAGTGGCTTTTGAATGCATCCGAATGCCAAAATTATTGAACATTGAAGGCTTACATTCATGAAAGTAACATTCAACACATTTTGTTCCATCTTTTATGTACGAAAGGCACCGGAATTGCGCTAAGAATATGTAAACAAAAAATATAACTCAGTACTCACTGCGGTGAGTGACAGAGAGCGCATTTTCTCGTCGACGAAAACGTAGTCACGGACGGTCAGACGGGCGGACATGACAAGCACAATAGCGCCTTTTTTCAATAAATGAGAAAATGCGCTAAAAATGGAGCATGCAACTTGTAAGTTTAATTGCACGCGACTCACCAGAGAAGCTCTAAGTGTCCGACTCTCGTTGGACAGCCTCGTGAATTCGTCGACGTAGGCCTTGCGTTGCAGGTTGAATTGTTCCTCTAGTCTTTTCTTGAGCTCCTGATTGTACAGCAAAATGAATTTATGAAGTTTTCTCTTATTGATGAATTATAGGCATTTTTATATCATACATTCACAGATCAACGGAAACTAAAACAGTAAGTTGTGTGTAATTAAAAAATTAGCTTAGCATTCACAGTGTGCACAGTGAATAATGCAATTTGCCCTTACAATCTAAGATGCCATGAGACAATCTACCGAAGGCCAAGAAATATCATCAAAGGCATCTTATGTATTCATGAATGTAAATTTTAAACAAATAAGCTTATGCCTTAATACATATTTACGATTAACCTTCATGCTAAAATGAATAAAGACAAACCTAGACTGGCACTCTTACCTCTTGCCCAAAGGACGGCCATGAACGCATCATCTGCACCTCCCGACACTGAAGGTTCTGCTGGTACGTTGCCCTCATCATGTCCAAGTACTGCGTGATCTTCGTGACCAGAGCTGCCACGGCTTCTCTGTACGCAGAGTTCTGGGCTATGGCTGGAGGACAAGGCCTCCTCTGGTCAAGAGGCAGAAGCCAGTGCATGCCATCATGTACAGCCTGTACTATTAACTGGGCAACAATTGTCGTGTTTCGGGCTGTTTGATCATGAGTTATTTCATCAGAAAGTTCGGATCGCAGGAGCGCTTGTTGGCTTGCATTCAGACGTTTGTACATGTCTAGAACCTGTAGGTAAGAAGTCGTTTGTTCGGCCTGTGAATTTCTGCTCAATGTATTGACAGCTGTTTGCAGAAGCACCATACTATCTTGCTGTTGTTTGATTTGATCCTCTAAGGCTCGTTTTGTTTCAATCCAAGAGGTTTTGACACTATGGACCAAGCCTGACATGTTCGAAAATGCTGTGCATTCTCTTCTGTTTTCAGAAGAAGGTTCTCCCGCTTCTTCTCCAAGACTCACTCTAGGCCCGTGTTCGCTTGCAAGTTTTACATCGGCCACGCTAATCCTGAATTCGAGCTCAGCTACGCAGGCATCTTTCAACATCTTCTGGGTCATGGGTGGAAGAACCTCACAAACAACTTCCTTCTCAGTGAATAATTCAGGAATTACCTTCTGTATATCAGCGTCGAATAACTTCATCAACTCGTACCTAGCCTTCATGCCTCTCTCTGATACAAGATCTTCGAATTCAACGCTGAGGTTGTTGACTATATCCTGCCGGAGGTCATGGTAAACCTTGTCACGAAGTTCCTCCTTAAGATTTTTCATAACAACTTCACGCAGTTGTCCAGTCATGCGCTGCGTCTCCGCCTGTACTGCCGCCTGCACGGTAGCTTCTTGACGAATCCTGAGCTCGTCTCGCAGACGACACAGATCGTCGTCTGAGCTGCCCCCGCGCTGTAATACATCACGTACGCTTCTTATTAAAACAGCTCATAGGAATACGTCACGTACCAAACCTAAAAATGTTCAATAAACGCCAACAATATATTCATTTGAAACGCATAATAGCAAAATAATACTTTCAATTTAGGATTCAAAAGACTACAGGCAATGTGCTGAAATTTAAACTAAAACAAGGCTTGTTCCAAGTTTTGAGTAAATATCCGTCACGTTGTAGTTAAACAAAATCACAAGGCAGTTAAATTACTCTAACGTTTCATATATTAGTTGATTTTTTTAAATCATATCCTCACCTCTGGCGTGCCAATAGTTGACACAATTCGCTGGAATCTGCTCTGCAGCATCGCCATCTCCCTCTTGCTCTCACTCTTCAACCTCTTCGTCTGTAATACGGCAACCATATTAGGGATTTTAAATACTAAGTAAATACTCGATAAAAATTAGCAATCCAAGCACAAATCATAAGACCATAAACTATAAACACTATAACCTTTATATATAAATGATAATAAATAAATTATAAGATCATATAGCACTATAAAAACTATAACAATATAACCTTTAAAGAGTGACTGAAGCCAGTGCAACGACTACAACCTTAATAAAATGATAGCATTCAAGAATAATGTCGTTCAGCCAGCAACTAAAACCTGCAATACTTGAGCATTCCTCGTGCTGGAGTGAAGAATTAATTAACAATCGCGTGTGTAAGTATAGGGTTGATCGGCGGTTAACTCAACAGTATAATAAATATAACAATGCATTGCATGACAAATGCGACATACGAGAGCGTGATAATTCCCACTCACTCACACTTACAGTTTCTTTTTCTACCGCAACTTTCGCCTCATACATAAATTTGAGGAGATAATAATAAGAGGAAATAGGTTCCTCGCAATGACTCAAATTAACTTAAGACCAAAAATCAAAGGGGGTATTTTACATGAGGCAAGATCTACGAACCAAATATCTATAAATCATCTATAAAATATAAGGCAAGATCTACAATACTCACAAGTTCAAGCAGATTTTGTTCCTCCGCTTGGAGCCGCTCGGCATGCCACTTCTGCTTGGCTTCCTCGAGCGCAATCTTGCTCTGGTGTTTGAGATTCACAATTTCTTGGTCCTTATCTATCAACATCATCTGGAAGCTGAGATCTTCCTGGCTACGTCGCTCGGAGTTCTCGCGTGACATCATGTAGCACTTCTCGTTCAAATCGCATAGTTCTTGTTCAAGAGACGAGATCTTCGAGACGTGTTCACGGAGTTCATTTTCTAACTCGTCTCTTGAACGAACTTCTTCCCTAAGTTTAAGAAGTTCCTGCATCTGATATTGTACGTGTTTCTCTTGATTTTCCAGTTGATTGGTCCTGAACTGAAGCAGGTCCTCTCGTCTCTGTAAGTCCAGCTCCTGGCTCCTGAAGGAGTCAAGCATCTCGGTCTGTCTGGCCTCGAACGCGGCTTGCGCCTGCACCTGCGAGCTCGCGTCCGCAAGCGACGTTTCCAATTTTTCAATTCGACTCTCGTACGACGCCTTCATTTCTGACATCTCTTCGTCGTGCTCCTTCTTTAGTCTGCGGAAAAATCGTACAAGAAATACAGCTAATGCATGAGACATTTACAGAAGTCTTGATTAATGGAACGCCGTAGCTTCACCAAAAGATGTAAGCCGAAATGGTCGAAAATGTAAAGCGCTAAATGGGAGAATTTATACATGCCACGCAAATAACATTTATATAATTCAAGCAATTAAATTATCATGACAACATGCATTTTTCAATGGAAATAGAAAAATTTCTATTGAGCTATAAATTTAAAATTTTCATTCATCCCATATTAAATTTTGCAAGTGTGAAAGGCAGAAATTGAAATAATAACTGACGTACCTTTTACTTTGCTCGTAGAGGAGCTCCTCCTGAACTTGTTTGTTTAACGAAACCTTCAGCTGGAGCGTTGTGACCTTTTGCTCCAGCTGCTCCATCTCGGACGCCACTTCTTGCTTCCATTCGTCCTTCAATCGCAGTATTTCAGTCTCGTGTTCGAGACTCAACTTAGCAATGTCATTCTCAGCTTTGGCCTGAACTTCCTGCAATGAGACGTCGTGTTTGCTCTGCAATTGCTGAACTGAAGACTCGTGAGTCTGCTGGAGTTCTTTGATAGCTCGTTCATGGTCCATGTTGAGGCGCTGAACGTTCTCACTGTGGTCACCTTCGTTCTCTTGAATTGTCTTCTGAAGCTCCATTATCTGGTGGTGGTATGTCTCCACCTGAGAATCCAAGTCAGCTATTTTATACTCGGTTACCTCCTCCCACTGCCGGCGATCTTCGGCTAGAGTTCGGTTCCTAATTTCTGCGAACTTTTCGAGTGCAGTGCTCATCGTTTCAGTGGTAGCCGCCAGCAGTTTTATCCCCTGCTCTTCAGTACCTTCCTTTACTCCTTTCTCTAGAATTTCTTCAATGTCATCTTGGAGCCCAAGCATTTCTTTGAGCAGCGCATAGGGGTTATATTTCTGTGTTGTTCCCGTGTTAGACTCGTCCAAGCCGTCAAATTTCGAGGTTGTTGCCGTGTTAGACTCGTCCGAGTTTGTTTTCGAGTCATGGGGAAGGCTAGGCACTTCTGCAGCGTCTTCAAGATCATACTCGGCCGTGACATACTCCTGCGTCATCACGATCGAGTCAGGGCTGGTCGCGGGCTGCACGAAGGCAGCGTCCGTCATCTTGTCGAACTCCTCTGTGTCTGTCTCCGACTCGCGGTGCTCGCTAACACAAATAAAGGGAACATTTTATTCCACCAATAATACTATAAAAACAAGCATCAATTTAGTGAGCAAAATAAAGACTTAAATAAATACTTTGATGTCTCCGACTCGCGGTGCTCGCTAACACAAATAAAGGGAACATTTTATTTCACCAATAATACAATAAAAACAAGCAACAATTTAGTGAGCAAAATAAAGACATAAATAAATACTTTGATGTCTCCGACTCGCGGTGCTCGCTAACACATATAAAGGGAACATTTTATTTCACCAATAATATCATAAAAAAACAAGTAATTTAGTGAGAAATATAAAACTTAAATAAATACTTTGATGTCTCCAACTCGCGATGCTCGCTAACACAAATAAAGGAAACAAATTTTATTTAACCAATAATACTATAAAAAAGAAGTAACAATTTAGTGAGAAATATAAACACTTAAGTAAATACATTGGTGAAAAAGACGAGATTTATAAGATAATATATAAATCATATAATGTTCCTGCAAAGGGCGATATATTTCTATGACGTAGTTGTCAAAAAGCTATAAAATTATTTGACAAATGTTAAAATTGATTTGATTTGTTGCCATCAAGAAATTGAAATGAAGTAACTGGTAAAACAGAAAGTGAATTATGAAGTCATAGTAATTAAAATTGACGTTTCTATTGAACAAAAAGCTTGGTGCCAGCAAACTAAAGGTCAGGATAAGTTCACAAAACGGTCTCATGCTCAACAGTTCAAACAAAATACATACTAATTTGGCAATACATAAGGAACTTGAGTAAACGTTGCTTCAAAACATGGAGAAGAGGCAATAAATCAATGAATTGAATATAAATTAACGGCATCTATCTGCACGAGGCAGAACTAATAGGTGGTGGTCAGCAAACTACAAAGTGTCAGCTAGGAAATATATAGATTGTGTCACTGTAAATTAAACTACATGACATTCTAAATAATAAGTTGGAAATAAAGAAGTAAATAGTTAAGCGATGAAGTAATTGTGACCACGGAGGGATATAAAAAGGACTTACAAAGCAACCGAACGAACGTTAGGCGATGCAAAACAAGGCAGAATAAGACGTGGTAGTAAGGTTAGTTCACCTGCCCACAGCAGACAAGGAAGGGGCGCCGCCAGCAACTAGTGACGTGTCTCCACTACTAGTGCTAGTTACGGTGCCCCCAGCCACTTGCTCAGCACTAGTGATGCTCGTGTTGGCACTAGTGAGACTATTTAGAGAGCGAGCGTTAGAAGAGCCCACTAGTGCTCGAGCACCGTAGTATGCGACACTAGGACTAGTGCCACTCTGGTTACTAGGGCTCATTAAGACACAATGGCTGGCACTAGTGGCGTCCACTAAAGCTGTGTGGATGTTGGTAGCAGAGCAGCAGACCTCGGCACTGGCACTGCTGCTGCTCAGAGTGCCATCCATGAGGGAGGTGGCACTCGTGCTGCTGTGGCCGCAGATGCCGGGAGCAGTAGTGTCGTTAACGCCACTTATTTTGATGTTGCATCCATTACGAAACTCAAAACTAAATTAGAAGAATGAAACCGCAAAACAGCCCAATTCACGCCGATCATGCATAGTAATGTTTATGGATCAATGCTGCGGAGGAGGCTATATCAGTCAATTTCAAATACTACGTACAATGTTAGTGATATTAGCAAGCGCAAGTTTGTAGACCGTCCTAGTCTCGTCTGTACAGCGTGCAATAGTTCACACATTCTCGAAGGGAATCTGTTTTTGTCAACTGCTTCAGATAATCAAGATTGAGAAATGCCCATTGAATGCTTATCATAACTCTACAATATAAGTAGGATACCAAATAGAAACAACAAGAAATGATGCTAAAGCACTACATACTCTGCAAAAGAATTTTACGCCTAAGAAGCAGCATAAAACATCCTCAATTAGGAACTTTTTTTTTAGGAACTAGAGTAATAACTAACTTAGGAACTAAACTGAGTAATTCATTTTCATTCAGGAGGAGCCTCAATTAGGAAAATGAATTACAATTAGTAATTAATTCAGGAAGATCCTCAATTAGGAAGTAAACAGAGTAATTCCCTTCTCACCGGAAATGATGGGACTGAAATGCTGGCTCGGACACCGCGGCAGGAGGAGGCGCGGTGGGGGAGGCAGAGAAGCCCGCGGTCTTCAGTATGGCGGGCACGGCGTCCACGCGCTCAGGGGGCTTGAGCAGCTCAGCGTACTGCGGGGCCGCGGTCGCCAGGCGGGACACGTAGTCCTGACTCAGCTGCAACAAACGCATAGTCAGGCTACAGACATTACTTTACACTCGTCCAGCAACACGTAGTCCTGACTCAGCTGTAACAAACGCATATTCAGGCTACAGACATTACTTTACACTCGTACAGCAACACGTAGTCCTGACTCAGCTGTAACAAACGCATAGTCAGGCTACAGACATTACTTTACACTCGTACAGCTACACGTAGTCCTGACTCAGCTGTAACAAACGCAGGCACAGTCAGTCTCCAGACATTACTTTACACTCGTCCAGCAATAGTGTCCCCGCTGTGTGGTTAAAATTAAAGCTACAGTCTGTGTCATCAGTAGAGTCAGTTCGAGTTTCAGTTGTTCTGTTCCCGCAAGTCACGGAATAGTCAAAACAAATATAAATTAATACAGCATACAGGCAGTGCATTTTGTCAATTAGCGAGTTAATTACAAGAATTTAATTCAAAAAATTAACCTTTACTTAGCTTAGAAAACATCCACATAGAAATAGCAAGAAATTGCTTATTGCTTTCAAGTTTTTAGAGAATTTGCGATTCAAGCAAACGAGTGACATTATTAGTGAAATAACAGAAATATAAACACAAACCTGAGGAATTCTATTATCAAAGTCACGGGGCTTCTTGCCCCAGTGGGAGGGGGGGTTCTCGAGCAGCCCCGGGAAGAGGCTCGTCAGGAAATGTCCCTCCAGCTGCCGGCGGATCTGTGAACGCTGCTCCACTTCTGCAGCGTGCAGGCGCGTGTACTGCTGCACCAGCGGCACCGACCACTGCACGCATAATTTGTACGCAATTGTAGCCTTCGCTATTATATTAGGGCAAATATTAGAATAGAATAGAAAAGAATAGAATGAAAGTGTCGGCGTTGAAGAAATAGGCCCATGGTCTGTTGCCGTTTCTTGTACTTTTCGTGACTTGATTCACAAGGGATTCGGCCTTTTGAACCCGATCTTTCATAACTGACGATTGATTGAGATAGCTGCTGCACTTATTGCCTGGTCCGTCAGTCACATATTGATATATACATATTCAGTAAGTGATGATAGTGGAAATAAACTAATGAATGATGAACATCCAATTGACCCTGGCAATATAAATACTTGAATCAAAATTTTATCTGGACTACTGTATCGGGATACTTTATGTTTATCGGGATCTTCTTGTATGAATGCCTGAGACTAGACCTCTTATGGCGAACATGAGATCCTCCTAAATCTTCATGTAATGAACAATTTGAATGCTGACCTGCTTGAAGGCATTAGAGTAGAGCCTCCTTCTTATTATCTCAGCGACGGCGAGACAAAATAAGCGCGGGGCGTTGACCACGTCACGCACGATGTCGCAGTAACGCTCCGTGTTCTCCATGTTCGCGATGAACAGCATCATCCAGCTGTGCTCCACCTGCAGCTGCTCCACCAGCAATATCACTTTGCTGTAATGCAAGGCGTTATGGTGCACGTTACACATAATGTTCCACCAGCGATATCACTTTGCTGTAACACAAAAGCGTTATGGTGCACGTTACACATAATGTTCCACCAGCGATATCACTTTGCTGTAACACAAAGCGTTATGGTGCACGTCAGGAACACATAATGTTCAATAGATCTGAAGTTGAAAACTTTTAGGAAACGATTTCAATGATGAATCGAAAAATATCTACATTTGAAGTCTATTGGACCTAGTCAGTCAAATCTGGCTGAAATTTGCAACGCTGTTCAGCAAATTTTTTTCGTCGGTACATCATAGGCATTTACAAGAACATTGCAAGAATTTACTAGGACACAACTTCTTGCAATTAATGCATACATCACATCTAACTTTATTACCATACTTGACGTGAAATGTAGGAGCACATACGTACTACCCTTGAGCTACTAACATGTGAAATAGCGACTGTAAACATAACCAAATTGAATATAAACTGAAATTATTTAACAAGGTTCACTGCTGTTAGGCCTTATCACTACGAGCTACGATTCCAACATGACATGGCCGAAATTAAACAGAAATCTGACCTTGTTTGTCTGAAGAGATGACACGATATATCAACCTTACTCTTCTGAACCCTCTGCAAGATGTCATTCATCTGAAAATGTTACAGAAATTTTAGTTACATGAATTGTTTCATAATAACACTACTTCTTACGCAGAAACGAACTTGACGTCCAAAATCTTACCCGTCAAAATAATGAGGTTTTTAACAAATAAAAGGTTCATGTTACACTCAGGTACAAACATTTCAATTCACATGTACGTGAATAAGTAAGAATGCTACAGAGGCATGTATTTCTAGATGCATGAATATGCTTAATACTTTCACTATAATTATCATGAACAATAACCGACCTTCTGGAAGTCCTTGACGCGTTCCTGTAGAGCGCAGAGCAGCTCATCGGTTCTCGCCATGGAGTGCGGCAGCTCTGTTTTGCGTGCCTTGTATACCTAGCGTAACAAAAAATTATCGTAGAATGCACGAGTCGAATGACACAGTAAGACAGGGTGTTCTTTGGATTTAGAGTTGCCCTTGAAAGAAATGAAATAGAATATTAACCGTCCAAAGAAATCATAAATTGATCAGTAAATACAGGTATTCTTAGGCATGATTATGCTAGAATATTCAACAAAGTTGGAGATAATTACTAATATTCACTTGATCACATCAACGCTCATATGATGCGATAAGCAGAAAAATATCAGAGACTTGAACACATCTTTCTCAGCTATCTGAACATTTCTCATCACCGTCACTAGTCTCATTGAAGGTTAGAGCAAACTTACGTCGCCCTCGCGCTTGATGTTGTCGTAGAGAGCCCGCGCGCCGTCGAGGTGTGCCTTCAGAGACTGCAGGCGGTCGCTCAGGCCGCTCACTTCGCGCGTCGCGGGGCTGCGGCACTCGGACAACAGCTTGCCGTAATACCGCTCGCGTTGGCTGTAGTTGGCTTCTTCTCTCTGTAATCATATAGATGATTCAATACAAAGGCATTAGAGCAGACTGAGCAGCTATATCAATTTTTACTTTACAATGCAAATTTGGACTGCGAACTATGTCAAGAAAAAGGTGTACGTTATTTCGGAAAGAAAAGATATGCAGTTCATGAAACGGAAATCATATTACCGAAAAGAGGTAGGTACCTAGTGCCAATGGATAACAGAACTATCACGTACACGAGAATAATTGAACATGGCTTACCGCCCACTCAAGTCCCGACTTGGCAAGGCTGACGTAATGCCCCAGAGGCTCCTTGCTACGGTCATTTATCCACTGCAGTAGAGTTTGCTCCGCCGGAGAGTCATCCTCGTCAACACTATCCTCATCTTCTTCGAACATCACTCCCATTTCAGACTCATGACTCTCCTTCTTGCGTCTCGCTGGCGCAAGAAAAGACGTGCGGTCTATAATGGCGTCGGAATGCGATGCTTCGCCGGCAATGGCCACCTCACCCTCCTGCCCTCGTCTTCTGTGGACTTCCTCACAGCCCACGGCGACACCAGTCTTGCGGTCGACGAGGCCGGCGAAGCTGTCCATGTCAGCGCCGGGTGCCACCTCGCTGGCCACCAGGGACTCAGAAGCTGTACGGGAGCGGCGGCCGCTGCTGCGGACGGCAGTGATGCGGCTCGCTGCCATGTCTTGACTGCCCTCGCTCTGGCATATGGCTAAGCTTACAGGGAAATTGGCCATCATAGCTTCTACTTCGGGAACCCTGCGCGACAGCAATTATAATATTGATAAAATTTTCATGAAAAAGAATCTTGAGCAAAATAGTATAGTCTACCGATTCTAGAAGTGTGTTTCACCACACCACTGACTATACCTATATAAAAATTATATCAAATAACTCGACTGACTCTTGACTCTAGGTTTTTGCAATACAACTTTATGTACTTAAAAATTTTATTACAATACAATTAATTTATAACCAGAGGACCAGTCAAAGCATTAGTTTCAAATTAAGATCACTACACTAACCTCTCGAGAAGCTTTTGATTCTTTTCAGCATTTTCTTGGTAGGACGAGAATATCTCCTTGAACTTGACATAGGCTTTGTCAAAAGTGTCGGCACATTTCTGAAGGTGTGACAAGAGTGCAGTCCAGCCAACGTATTGACAATCTTGCTCTTGAACCTGAAAGTAATAATTAACAATCATGATGATCATGATAATGCTAATCAGGGCTTGCAAATGAAGAATGTTCTTCAACTCTTAGATTTATTGCCATGTCTACAAATATATTTTTATTGAAACAATAAGAAGTTAGCAATGTTTGAAAACTAAGAGAAGCAGACTAGCCAACATAAAGGAAAATTTCTATCAAAATTTAGGTAAACTTTTTGTGTTCACAAGATGAAAAACTTTAAACTTAATTTTTTCCAAATAGTTCAATGGTTACATAAAGAGAATTGAATGATGTTAGAGAAGAAACACTCACCACACAGGTCACTTCCTTGGCAACCTTGGCTCCTAAAGTCAACAGCTCAGATATGATCATGGAAATGATCTCGAGCTTCTGGTACGGTGTAATGCGGGCGGTGCTTTCAAACCTTCTCCACAACTGCGGGGAAAACAGAACACGTCAATAAGACTATAACCCATAAAAGCTATAACCCCACAATTATGAAGCTACATGGTTCATATAAATGAGGCTTTTTTAATGTAAAAATTTTTGTTTTGTAAGGTACCTATTTGAATTAGCATCATTTCAGTATTTCAATGCATGTAAGTAAGAATAAAATGGACTGAGAAGCTAACCTCACAACTACGAAGCTACATTCTTCATATAAATGAGGCTTTTATATTCTAAAAATTATTGTTTTGTAAGGCATTCGAAGTAGCATCATTTCAGTATTTCAATTCATGTAAGTAAGAATAAAAATGGGCTGAGAAGCAACCTTTTGAATGCTGTCTTTGTAGCAAGAATAAGTGGCAGGTGGCATAGCCTCTTCTGACTTCTCTTTGCGGAACAGGAAGACAGGACTTTGCTCTGTGCCTGCTCTGTACTTCACAAGCTGGCCTGCAGCCTCACCCAGTCTGATGCCATCTGTAACACATTAATAATGATACGAGTTCGAAAATTGTAAAGAATCATAAAACTATCCATAAAAAATAACACATAGATATTTGATTTTCATAGCATATCTTCTTATCAAGGTTATGTGGAGCAGTTTAAAAGCAATGCTAAAATATAGGCTAATATAGAATAACAGCACATTTACCAAGCATTATTATTGCATTACCTTATTCAGAAGAACAGAGTCTTCATAAATAATCATACAGTGATATCAAATGAATATCTATTAAAAAAAATTAAAAATCAGTGATGCAGTCAAACAAATAAATTACAATAAAAGCAAATCATGCATTCTAGGCATGCCTGAGTGACAGGAGTTAAGCTATTGATAATAAATTACCTGCTACAATGAGGATTTGGTTGGCAGGACTGATGTGGTAGTGGTCCTGTAGGCGTGCCTGTAGCTCCATCACGCTGTAACGTCATCAAACTTTGTAGGTAATGCTTTTAAAATTTACCACCACTTGTCAAATATAAGCTCCTTAACTCCAGAATCATCCTATATTATTGCAGATTTTTTTTTTGACAACATTAGCTCCTCTCAATAAAATACATTAAAAATAATCCCAAAAATGTTAAAAAAATATAACTATTAATTTAATGAAAATTATTATTTTTAAACAATGTAAAGCCTGTAAAACTCAATGCACTGCAGGCTAACAATTGCTGTAAAAACATAGAAAACCTATTTATTTAGAAAATTCTTCTATGCAGTGACAATAACAAAGAATAAAGTGATTAAGTTAAAACCTACATAAAATTGTTTGCACAACCAAAGTACAAGTACTTTCCTACAAGCAAGCAGAAAAGTTACAAAATTGTAAAGCCAAGACAAAGTTATGAGACAAACCTCTTGGCATGCAGGCCAACTTCCATCTTGTAAAATGTAGCTTTGTCCACGTCAAACACAAAAAACATCTTTGCAGCATCAAATGAAGACAAGTTCAGACAAAACTTTGCAGTTGAGGAATAGCAGGGAGTTCGCCCACTTGGATTTGTAATTTTATCCTTTTCCTTGACATCAGTCAACTTGGTAGGACTTTTGAAGAGATACTTTGTTATAGCCCTCTCCTTTTGGTGAACTTTGCTGTTACTAGGTTTTTTAATTGGTGAAAGTTCTGTGTAGAGCAATCCTAAGCCAACATAACCTGAATTTTTCTTAAGTTTTGATGGCCTTGATTCATCAATACTAGAATTTAAAACTCTTGCCGAAGATGATTCAATCAAATTGAAAGAAGTGGACCCTACATATAGAGCATCTTCATATGCAGCATCTTCTCCCAATAACTTTGAACTTGAATGTGGCTGCGAGCTCTCTGCACTTCCGCATTCCAGTATACAATCCAGGAGTAAAGTCTTTGGTGATGCAGACAATGTTGGAGGCTGTGGCACGCTGCTGGATGATGGAGCAGCAAACACCTTTGCCCCCCAACACAGCCCTGGCTGGTCTGACTGTAAAAAAAAGTATTTGCATGAAATAAATCATTGTATACCGAACATATTTATAAATATCAAAGCAAAGAAAATTTGACACATAAGATAACCAGTCAAAATTCTATAAAACTAATAGAAAGAAATAGCATAATTCAAATCCATGCATATATCATAATTCCAGATTCATACACATTGTAAAATTTTAAACAAAATAGAGAGACATCACTTTCTGACCCACTTTCTGTTGGCAATTAGAGTTGGAAACTCAACCTCCAAGACATCTTGGCAATATTTTAAAAATTAATGGCATAGTTCATGGTAATTTATACTTATTTATTTTAAAGTTCTATTATATCATACAGCATACAGTTTATACCAGACAGAATTTTGAGAAGAATTTTCTTCACATAATGCATATTCCGCACTCTGCAGCAGGGGCCTCTTCCATTACAAATGCAGAGACCTACATAGATATTGAAAATAAACTTGCTTTATTTATTGTCAGCAATGACATATTAGTCACAACTGAATATGACTTGCCAAAGTATAGGAAAATCATAGAAATAATAATTATGAATACCATATTATGCTTGCATGCTATATATATATGGTTTCCAAAGATAATTAAAAATATATTAGGATATCTTCTTAATTATTCAAGGATAATTAAACGGTCAGGAAGTTGAATTCAATTGCAAGCAATAGCAATAAAAAATATACAAAAGCACTACACATATTATGCTTGCATGCTATATATGGTTTCCAAAGATAATTAAAAATATATAAGGATATCTTCTTAATTATTCAAGGATAATTAAATGGTCAGAAAGTTGAATCCAATTGCCAGCGATAGCAATAAAAAATATACAAAAGCAATTAAAAAATTTTTAAATAGGTCATGAAGGCTAATAGGCTAAATTGCTAGCTATTTGATAACTGAAATTCAGTCTTTATCCCCTAAGACTTTTGAGCCAACTTGCAGGAAGTAAGCCAATATCCTAATTCCTAAGATCTTTCTGGTGGTGGAAAATTGGGCAGCAGCTACCCATGGACTGGGTAAAAATGCCCCTGCATCTGCCCAAGTGCCCATTTTCACCCATTCCAAAGGGATTTTCCAAATTTTTTCAGTTTTTTCCATTGTTTAAAAAAATCAGCCAAGAAACAGTCCTTTTTACCTGCAATTTTAGGAATGTCAGGCATAATATTCCAAGTTTGCATTAAAGTTGGTAGATTCACAAGATGATAGCATAGCCCTAGCCGGGCTAGCCCTACCTTTACCTACGCATTAGTAAACCTCAAATAAATTTCATGTCAATCATGTAAAGAAAATTTGAAAGCACAATCTGGTATATTGGGCTGATATTTTCTAAATCATAAGTAACAAATTATTTCACAGGTAATTATTGGAAATTTTAGGAAATATAGGCAATTACAACTTTTCCAGATTCTCCTAAAAGAATTAACCCTACTGGGTCTGTCAGCCTCATGCTCATGTCAGGTCAATCTGACTTAATGAGTCTGTTTGAGTCAAATCAGTCAATCATTATTCATTAATGAAGTTTGAATGAGCATTTCAGAAATTTGGTTTTCTGTGTTCATACTAAGTAAATTCAAATTGAAGGAACATTTACTTTTACTCAAACTCTCAAAGAATTAAAAAAAAACTCACCTCAATGATTGTGTTTAATAGACAGCCTTGATAATTTATGCTACAGATACTATAATATGGTTTTAAATAATAGACCACTAGACAAATTTCAGAAACGGCAGGTAGTCAGCTGAGAAATCTACCTTAATAAACTAAGTAGCTACACTGCACTGACTGCAGCAAGATTGACTGAGCCTCAGCCTGGGAGCCACGGTTCATGGGTTACTTGACTTGCTTCCAAAGCAAATATCGAATTAAAAATCTACTCTACAAATCGAAAAGCAATCATAAAAAATACTAAATTCATCTACGTGACTCAACATCACACTCCATGATTGCTATTACATGATGATTCACACTGCTCGGTCTACTCCTTGGCAACAGCTTGAAAATAGTAAAGGACAACAAAGGAAACGGACGAGGCCTAACACGACGCGAACAGCTGATCAGCGCGAAGTTTATAACTTGACGATTCCAAGTTAGTAAACCTGGAGAATTTACATGAAGCTTCCATCCATTGCAATTGATTAAAATGTCATAAATATCTTATCTTTCAAATTAAAAATTAACAAATCGAAAATGTTTTTAAAAATTCCATTACGCAGTTCATAATTGCAATTGAGTTTAACAAAGAAATTGTGTTTTTAGACGATTAAGGCAATCAGACTCATAATTTTGTCAAAACAATATTTCATTAAACGGACTTGCAAGCTTTTAGATATCCCTACGTTGTCAATCGTTCTAGTTATATCGCTTTTAAAAATTTGTATTATGGAACAATTGAGGTAGAATTCAGAAGTTGTTTGATTTTAAATTTGCATATTTCTGCGGCTACAAGGAATCAGAATCCTCATTAAATGCAAAGAGTATGACTCAGAGCGTAAATTGGTGACTTCCTATCGGAAATCAACCCAAAATCTAAGTGCATTTACGTTACCTAAAGACTTCATTAGCACACAATATAAATATTTCAAATGAATTTCGATTACGTTAGATTTCGTATATATGCTATTGCTATCCTACAAAATATAACGACACGTTAGTAGAGCTACTATACAATAAAAAGACAATGGTCGTTTTGTGTGCAAGTGCATGTTTTTGTCTCTCAATAATTAATAAAGAGCTCTTATTTCAGGCAGCACGTGGTAACTTCATTGGGGCGAATGTTCTAATATTTTTTTATTCACCAACTGCATAGTTAGAAAGTATTTCATACTTGAATCGATTTTATTAAAACAACTACTACGGCACAAAAAACATTGAAAATGTAATATATATAGAACTTTTTCCATTGTGATTTGAAACTCTCCCGGGACACAGCAGTAGGCCTATCATCTACGAACATCATTTGTCTACATGCACGTGGGACCAAAGACATAAATTTTAAAACGAATGGTTACTAATTTTTTTTATCTAATTCAATGACAGTAATAGAATTTGCAGCGCTTGACATTATCTTTAAATTTTAGAGTTACTACACGAGTTCCAAACTAAGTACATCAAGGCCGATACTCAAACACGATGCGAACGACACGAGCGCCGAGCCCAGACTCAGGATGCCGGCTTACGGCGACCCGACCTGCCTACAGCAAGTGCAGCCTATGCATGTGATGTAGGAGGCGTGAAGCACCGACCTACTCACACGTGCAGCCTGTACATGGGATGTAGGAGGCGTGATGCATCGACCTACTCACACGTTCCACCTGTACATGTGATGTAGGAGGCGTGATGCATCGACCTACTCACACGTGCAGCCTGTACATGTGATGTAGGAGGCGTGATGCTCCGACCTACTCACACGTGCAGCCTGTACATGTGATGTAGGAGGCGCGATGCTCCGACCTACTCACACGTGCAGCCTGTACATGTGATGTAGGAGGCGTGATGCATCGACCTACTCACACGTGCAGCCTGTACATGTGATGTAGGAGGCGTGATGCTCCGACCTACTCACACGTGCAGCCTGTACATGTGATGTAGGAGGCGCGATGCACAGACCATATCACACGCGCAGCCTACGGAGACAAAGAGATCGCTACACGTAATTAAAACACTCATCCTAAAAAATATGGCCGTAATTTACCAAGATTAAATTATTATGATACAACGAACCGCGTATTTGTATACGAAGCACACGAGCAGGTAGGTACGAGAGTCCGCGAAACTGTTTATTCTTCGAGCAACGCTGAGAAGAGAAATATAAACCAGTTCGCATTCGGGTTTCGTTTTATCAGCTATGTGAGTTAATAATCAAAATATCACAAACTTTATTCTCATGCCGACGAAATTAAGCTCGTACTATAATATACAACAGTCAGCAAATGCTCTAAAACAAACACACACATATCATTCTGAAATGTTCTGTAAACCTTTCTTTATTTATAAAATGTTAGCAAGTGCGTAGGTTATATAGGCAGAGTGATTATGATCAACAAGATTGGCGCAAGGTTCAAAAGAGCAGCTGAGGGTTCAAAACACGCAATTAGCTGTGAAATTTTTGGTTAAAATCGGCAAGGTGCGCCGGTCGAAATAAATTGGCAACGAGCCAGAATGTCTTAATTAAAGCTGACTTCACTATATTATATTATAACGTATGTTTTTGTAATGTTTGAGTAGGTTTGTTAGTGGGTGAGCTTGAAGCCTGGCGCCTTGAATATTTTGCTGTTTTTCGCGAGAGTATCCACGACATTTTTTATGTCGGCACATTACCTAGACCTGAAAAATTTTCATTAGCGGGTGAATTGTAAGGCACTATAAATTGGGATGAAATGATTGGACATAAAAAAATCTTAATTTGATGTTGAAATAGTGCATATAAATTTAGTTGAAAAGACTCAATAAGTATTTTTCATACTTATTTCTCATACTACGCATTTCAAGGAGATTCAAATGAGAGTTCTATCTATAATGTGGGTTCGAAGAGCATGCATGGTCTCTCTTTATTCAAGACATATTATTTTATTATTATTGTTGTTATGGGTTAATCATTTATTGAAAGCCTTTTACTCTTCAAGCTGCAAATGAGATTGGAATTCAACTGAAGTGCAGCCTATGCAACAGGTTGTTCCTAGAAAAATGCACGTACATGTGGATGAAATTTTCGAATGCTAACTTTCGTTGTAAACTTAAAATCTTTCACACCCAAGGCTATTCTATCACATCGCACTATCTAAGGTTTCATGTTTCTTACCATCTCCAGACGTTGAGGTGTGAAGTTTCTCAAATCTGAAGATTCACTCGCACTTCTTGACTCTACAAGTAGAAGCACGCAACTGAAGTAGAAGTCGGTCCAAGGAGCGAGCATAACTTTACAGAGGGCACTGTCCGCTGGAGGTGCGGATGGCTGGTGACCAATAGATTGGAGCCATCCGAGTTTGCAGGTGTTTAGGTGGCCATAAAACAGGAGCATAGGCTTATTTTTTAATATCATTCCTGAAAAATTTCCCGCGACAACTTTTCACACGTATATTTGTTCAAATGTATGCCAGCAGACGCAATTTTTTTTCCGGCACTTATACTCACTGGGAGTTTGGATGTTGTCTAAAATCACGTTGGGTACTAGAATGAATAACTCCAACAAAAGCAATGAAGTGTTGTTTCTTGAGTCGGTCTGCCACAAAATCTTTTTTCCTTTACGATGGGACCCTTGAATTCTAGAATTTCGAATGATCTTAAAATTTAGGAGTAAGACTTTATAATGATGCACGCATATGACTAATTTCGGAATGGTTTGTTATGGTTCAGCGAACTCAGATCGGAGGACACATCGTATATTTTTTAGAGTTTTCATTCTCTAGATGTGAAATGTAAGTTTCACAATCGCTAAAAAAATGAGTTCAATCTGGCTGAGTAAATGTACAATTTCTACATGAACTACACAGCAGATTATCCACGTATAACAAGTAAACCATTTTTCCCTTTTGAGCATCAATGCAGTCCCGTACGTGTGTAACTGAATAATTCTTCAATTTACTTCAAGTTGAACTATAGCATAAAGATATCCATTAAATCTCAGGGTGGTCTTTCTTTTCTCTTTTTCATATTATGGTATATTCCAGATTACCAGATTATTAAAAAAATATAACTCAGTACTCACTGCAGTGAGTGACAGAGAGCGCATTTTCTCGTCGACGAAAACTTGAGGTCACGGACGGACGGACAGACGGACAGACGGACGGACAGACAGACAGACGGACATGGCGAGCACAATAGTGCATTTTTTCCATAAATGAGAAAATGCGCTAAAAAATTGCACGCTTTCTGGAACACTGACAATGACATCGCCCATAATCTACCCCATATTAATTAATTGTGAAATTTTAATTTAAATGTTATAAAGAAATTCAAATAAGTTGTTAGATGGTGCAAAGATCGATATTTACCACTTTTCCATTCAATTATAACTATCTATAATATCATATTCATGATATTTTATTGATTTAAAATATGTTACAATTATTCTGCTTCAGTCATTTAAAAATCAGACGATGCAATTTAAATTAAATTAGTTATTGTCAAATTTCGTCAGAAAGTTTTGTGGAACAACTCATGCAGTCTTAACATGGCGCAATGCGAGCCATAGAGTCTGAACGACTAAAACCCAATCCATGAACTTAAACTCTGAACTTTTTTGTGGTCTTTTTAGGAAGCGAGCTTGCTGGAAGAGTCAAAAAAGGTCAGTGTCTACTACTGGAAAAAAATGCATGTGACGAAATGCACGATAGTCAAGACAAAGAGTGATACCTGAAACCCTGGGTCTCTTCTACCTGACCGGCGTATGCCTAACAAAAAGGCAAGCCGGGCAGCCAGCTAGTGGAGGACTCGAGGATGGACCTGGAAGAGGTCGCCTGCCGAAGACCACCACTGCCTTGGATGTAATGGAATGGACCATCATGATTCCTGCCTTCCGGAACGTAGCCTTCAACACTTCAAGCCGTCCGTATCTAGGCCGTGGGTCGAACCAGCCCTCGGTCGAACGGCCACTTGTCGAAAGACGATAAATTTTGGAACAGAACTATGCTATCTGAAACCTAACCTCAGATGCGGTGAACGTAAAATTACGTAATTTAACGATGCCTGGAATTCAGATTCGAGACGCGGCCTGGTGGTGCACGGCAGGTTCTATGCGAGGCCGGTGGAAGACAAAGCTGAGTGGTTCACGGCTGATTGGTGGATGTCCGGAGAGATCCAAGGCGTTCGATTCAGGGCTTATTGGTGCACAAAATTGGTGGTGCACGGCTGCGCTCCCCCTGGAAGTTGTGTCACTTGGAAGCAGGGTTGCCAGATAGTATTTTTTTCGGACAAATTGAGCGATTTAGTTTTTGTCAGTTGCGTTGGTTGGGTAAAATTTATAAAGGAGGTACTTCATTATTAAATTTTGAAATGTGCGAAAAAAT